CTTCTTCTTCAAGCTCCATCAAATGTGGTGTTGATTTGCAGCACATGAGTGATGCTGTCGAACGTGGAGCTTCGTTGTGCCCGCTCAATCGAGCTCGTAGGCAAGAAGGTTTGATTGTCGCTTTCGGACACAACCCGTTCTCAGCCACCCTTCACTCGAAGAGCAGGCCGCGGTGTATCCGTGTAGAGTCCAAGGAGCCGTGTCCGCACTCCAGATAGCCAAACCTCAAAATGGGACCTTGTCGGCCGGGGCTCCTGATCGTCGGCGTGTCACAGGCTCGGTCCAGTCCTGCGTCGGTCGTCCTACACATCAGCATCTCAGTACCGCATCACCACGATTCCAAGCCATTGAGTTCCATGCCCATAATATTAACGTGAAAACAACCCGAAAAAAAGACCACCGTCTGCAGTCGAAGTTTTGATCTTTATTTTCAGATCCGAGCTAGCTTGCCCATAAAGCCTTAATGTTCATCATGCCCTGGCCAACCCAACGATGCAGTATAACGGCAACGCGCAACTCCATTTGAGAGAGAATTTTCCCAGAAGCCACCACAGGGTTTTCGTAACATGATATCCTTTCCCTGCCGGCGCCTCAAATCTGTTTTCTTCTTCCTCCCGCTTTCACCTCATCATTACCAGACTTCCTGTTGGGAGAAATCTAGTAGCGCTTGCCCTCGCGCAGAGTGTCGGCGTACTCCTCGAGCGGGGATCTGATGAGCTTGGTCTCCTTCCACAGGTTGGGGGTGAGGAAGCCGTAGGTGTTGGAGACGGCGACGAAGGTGGCCTTGAGGGTGTTCTCGAGGGTCTTGGTGGAACCGGCGGAGGAGGTGTAGGCGTCCTCGACACCAGCAAGCTGGAGGAGACGCTTGACGGCGGGGGAGGCGACGAGGCCGGTACCGCGGGGGGCGGGGATGAGCTGTGGTTGTGCGCATTAGCAGCCAACTTCTGATTTTCCTTCTTTTCCGTCTTCGACCGAAAACCACGACGCAGCGAGCGGGATGTACGTACACGGACGGTGACGGAACCGCACTTGCCAGACTCCTTGGTGGGCAGGGAGTGGGGCAGACCGAGGTTGGTACCCCAGTATCCGCGACGGACGGGGATGACGCTCAACTTGGCGATGATGATGGCGGCACGGATGGCGGTAGCGACTTCCTTGGAGGTCTTGATGCCGAGACCGACGTGGCCCTCAGAGTCACCGATAAGGACGATGGCCTTGAAACGCGTGCGCTGACCGGCACGGGTCTGCTTCTGGACGGGCTTGATCTGCAATTGGGGAAAAGAAACCACAGGTTAGCATATTGTCCCTCTGTTTCCCTTTCTCAACTCAATTGCAACAAGAACGACCCTGTCGTATCCGTAGACCTAGACGAATTGCAACCCCTTCCCCAAGATCTCCAATTGCGCATTGTCGGGCAAAATTTCGGTCTGCGATAATTTTCGATCTCGGGGGATTGGAAGTAATTCGTCGTAGGTCTTTCGGTCTTCGGGATGTTGTTGTAGCAATTTTGTTGCATTGTGTTGTGTGCGCGCACCTTCATGACCTCATCCTTGAGCTTGGGCAGGAAGAAGTCGACAATCTGGTACTCCTTGATGGGCAGGGAGTGCAGGTAGATCTCCTCCATGCTGTTGATCTTGCCGGCCTTCACGAGACGGCCGAGCTTGGTGACGGGCTGCCACTCCTTCTCCTCGCTCTTTCCGCCGCGGCGGCCGCGACCACGACCACGTCCACGGCCACGGTCACCACCGCGGGATCCGAAACCACCGCCACGGGGGGCGCTTGCACCACGGTCAGCCATAATTGTCGATGTGAGGTGAGGGGAGGGTTGCAGAGGAAAAGAAGTTGCTGCTGCGGTTAGTGGTGGTTGATGGGGGGGAAGTTATTTCGAGATTCGTTCACCCACGACTTTTTTTGCGGGGGTCTGTGGTGGCTGTCAGGGCCGGACTAGGACATTATTTTTGCAGTGTGTGCACCGGCCTTTTTCGGAAGGCGGGCTTTGGCGAGCCCTAACGGACCTGAGGAGGAAAGAGGTGGCCTGAGCTCCGAGGCAGACTTTTCGAGGCGCTCGGTGAGCTGGGTGGGGGTCCTGGGTTCCGCGGGACAGCTCACCGAGACAGACCGAAATCATATCATCCGGCTCCACTATTGGCGCATGGTGGGTGAAATTCCCCAAAGTCGCAGACTCAATGCGCTCCAACCACACTCCACTGATAAACCAGGGTCGATCAATGCCTTGGGTAAACAAATCGTGACCCAAACCGAACCCCGCGCGTTTGCAATTTCATGTGAGTCACTGTCCAGGTCATGTTGCAGTCGTCGTCGCTGCGCAAAAGCTCCCAAATGCAATGTCCCAGGGTTGTCATCATTATCGTGGGCCGCCTATGTACACCAGCCTTTGTCACCGCCGATCCCCGCCTCCATTGCTTGTGCTCTCTTCCAAACGACGAAAAATTTGGGCTTACGAACCTCCCCCATGCGCAATGCATACTCCATGAGCTGTGAGCCGGATATCGTACATGAGAAAAACTAGAAAAACCAGAAGTGGGGTTGGGAGGGTATCGCAACTAGAAGCAACTTGCGCTGCAAAGCCACCGGGTGTGTGTGCGGGGGTAGAGTTATTTGTTTAAGCTGAAATACTCGTATGATATGCTCGTAGATGTGGAGTTGAGGGTTTGAATATGGACTCATTAGCAGTGCGGTTCTCTCCCATTCTTTTACTCGTCCTTCCGGATGAGTGAGTCGGAGGGCTTGACCCGTTGCGCCCATTCGCTGTGCATAAGTTAGTTGGTGAAACGATATCTCCGTTGGTGAATAAACTCACGTCCAGCTTCCGTCATATACTCTGCGCTTCTCAGGGGAACCCCATCCGGCCTCCTCCATAGCAGTCTCAATGACACAGGCAGTCACGCCGGTGCCGCAGCTCGAGACGATGGGCTTCTCGGGGTTGACGCCCTTCTCCTTGAAGATCTGCTTCAGCTTCTCGGCCGGGTAGAAGGCCTTGGTCTCGGGGTCGAGCACGGCGTTGAAGGGGATGTTGATCGAGCCGGGCATGTGGCCTGACGACAGTCCCTCCCGCGGCTCGGGGTCCTTTCCGGTGAAACGTCCCGGCGACCGCGCATCGATAACTTGCACGCCCTCGGCGCCCTCCTTGTTGTGATCCAGCGCAATCTCGCGCACCTCCTCGAACTCGGCGACCTTGCTCTCGTCCAGCTTGGGGATCGGGTAGGGACAGCACTCGACGCTGTACAGCTCGCCGGACTCGGTGGGCAGCTCCTGGTCAACCCACAGCTTGAAGTTGTTGAGGAGGTGGACCTTGGGGTGGCCAAAGATCTTGAGGGTCCAGCCGACGCGCGGGGCGCTGAAGATGCCGAGCTCCTTGCTGTCGTAGACGACGACGGTGTCCTCCTTGCGGATGCCGAGCTCGCTCATGGCGGCGGCGAAGTCCTTTGCGGAGGGCAGCATGTGCGGGTAGGGGCTGCGGCGGTCGATGACCTTGTCGAGGTCGAAGAAGCGTGCCTTGGGGATGCGCTGCTGGCGGAAGACCTCGATGCCGGTGCGGCCGTCGTTGGGCAGGAACCAGGAGGCGCAGAGGGGGATGACGCGGGGCTCCGGGCTAATCTTGGAAGGCGGGTTCTTCTTCAGGGCCTCGTCGAGCTCCTTGGGGGTGACGAGGTAGGAGGAGAAGGAGCGGCGCAGGGCGAAGGCGGCGAGGGGGCGGGCGCATTGCCATTGCGGCAGCTTCGCGGCGGTGCGCGACGACCGGAAGATGGCAACGGTGGCCATCGTGTGTGTTGTGTGTGGTGGTTTTCCTGCTCTTAGGAGTTCTGAATCACCTGGGTTGGGTGGTGAGCGATGTCAGATGGAGGTCGGTCGGGAGAGGACGGGACGGACGACGACGATGACTGCGGCGGCGGACGGGGGATCGGGTCGTTTATCGGTCGATGACAACGGCAGCAGGGCGGGCAGCCCGGAACGCAGGGCCCTCAGAGGGTGGCAGGAGAGAGGGAAGAAAAATCACGAAGGCCAAAGCCGCAGAGGCATTGCATGTGGTTGGTTTGCGTGCGGGGTTCGGAGAGGGGAAGCTACGAATGAGGCTTGAACTTTTTTTTTTTTTCCAGGCGGTTGGCAGTAGTGAAAGACGTAAGTGGAGGAATTTGCGGTGGTGGTTGATGGTGGTGTTGTTTGGGCGGGAGGCCGGTGACCGGTGGTGGGCAAGTTTTTTGGAGAAGGGCGACGGCGGCTGGTGTCGTTATGAACGTCGACCAGTTGGCGGCAAATATGGGAGTCGCAATGGAAAGCGGGAGACAGCAACTGTCCGGTAAAATCTGAGTGACCACCACCTACAAAGGTAGCGCCAACTGGTTGGTTCCAGTTTCCATCGCGCCTCCTCCGCGGGCAATCATTGGGCGGGTCCAATCCAGTTCAGCGTCAATGGAAACCCATCAACGGGACTTTACAAGACGTGGACAGCCCAGGGCATGTTCCCTGGCTGCACCTGCCCTCTGAACTTCTCAAGAGATAAGCGGAAGGTGGTCGGGGTCCGCTTCGGTGACTGGCCGGCGACTTGAGCGTCCGTTGTTGGCTGACAACGGCCACTGCCAAACTGCCCGCGCTTTTTGCTTGGGCAGTGGAGCAGACTAATAACCTGGAAGGTAAGGTAGCACGCCAACGGTCCACTAGCAATCAGTCGCTGCTGTGTGGTGTTCATGGGCACGCGAACGCTCAATGCGGGGAGCTTGGGCCATGTCTCCATCTTTTTTCGACGTGATTGACTGGCTTTGGGGGATGCCCTGCTGTTGCCCCGCAGACGCTGCTGGAGTGTCCCGCGTCGCAACTTCAACAAACAAGAGCGGGATGCACGTCAGCAAGACAGGCTGCCTCAGCTTGACTTACCTTATCTAACATCCGCCAACTTGTGTGTCAATGTTGATGCCAACCTCTTGCAAACACAAAGGACAAAAAAAACAACCAGGATCCATATTGCATAAAATACCAGCATCATGAAGGTCAAGATTACCCGCTGGAACACCGTCGCGACGTGGCGGTGGGATATCCCCGAGGACGACGTCTGCGGCATCTGCCAAGTCCACTTTGACGGGACATGCCCAACATGCAAATACCCTGGCGATGACTGCAGCCTTTGTGAGATGGCCATTCTCTTGTCGACTTGTTTCTATTACTGACCACATCCAGTGTCTGGCAAGTGCGGCCACAACTTCCACATGGTGAGTCAATCTCCACCAGCTGTACGGTGCCATCCTTCTAATACAACAAACAGCACTGCATCATGGAGTGGATCAAGCAAGATTCAGCCAAGGGCCAATGCCCCATGTGTCGTCAGAGTAAGTTCCTCGTCAACCTTCCTGGATGGCGTGCACTGCTGACATGCTCCAGAATTCGAGTGGGAGAACCAGGTCCCCGAGGTTGGAGTCGAGCGATAGTCTCCGTATTGATTTCTTCCTGGAGTTTTGGCGTTTCGTTTTGCGAGAGAAAGTAGAGATACCCAAGTCTGGCGACAAAGGGGGTCGTTTTGCATCAACATAAAGACTTCGGTATGAAGCAATAGCATAGAAGAAAACCCTGTCAGATTACCTGGTTTTGGTAATCAACGAGTGGGCGAGGACAAAAGTATTGATTGAAATCGAAACTGCCACAGAGTGTTGATTGTCCCTCTTCGTTCATCAACCTTATGGTCTTGTTCCTTTACCTCTGTGCCCGGCCTTGATGAGACTGAGGAATACTTTAGCTTCGACAACAGCATGGCCACAAGATTTGATTTTTCCAAAGTTCCCAGCCATGAAGTAATTGAGTCAAATTTCCTTCGTCCCAAACAATAGTCCCAAACCTTTTCCAGATTTGTTGACACTTCCTCCCATCTCCAAGCTCAGAGGGAGGTCGTCGTTGGCTGCATCACATGCAAGATCACGACCCCTACTCGCAGTCACGTGGTGATAAGCGATAAGCGACGTTACCCCAGATCGACCTCACTCCACCATGCCGCCCTACAGCAGCTCCAACTTCCGTCCCTCCCTGGACCCCATCGCCGAGTCCTGCTCCCTCCACCTTGACAAGGGAAAAGATGCCAACCGGCGCATCGCGCCCCAACCCGACGACGCACCAGAGAACCCCCGCAACTGCCGCTTCCGACACAACAACACCACACACGAGACCAAACCCCACGCGACGTCAGTAGACCTGCACCGTCTCATGATGGCCGACGTCCCGAGCCCCGAGGTCGCCGACCAACAACACCAAGCTCCCGTCGCTCCCGGTGCTGCCTCCCTGTCATCATCGCAGACCCAAAAGACGACCGACGCCAAACCTGCGCCCGCGGTAGAAACCGTCGTCACAGACACCGCCGCCGACCCGCAGCAGCAACAACAGCCCGCAGAAGACCACCAACCCTCCGACGCCCCCGCGACCCCGAAGCTCGACCCGGCCGGCTTCTTCACCCTCGTCTCCAACGCTAGCACGAACACGACGCACCACCCGACCGTGCGGTACATCTTCGCCGACGACGACCCGGACGTGCTCACCTCCGCGCTCGCGGCGCAGCACGCCGCGAACCAGGCCTCGTCCTCGTCCTCCTCGGCAGCAGCGGCGGGAACTCCGACGAACAACCGCGCGATTTTGTTGGATGTCGTCCCTGGCGAGGATGGACGGTGGACGGTGGCTTCGGCGGCGAGTTTGAGCGCGGATTTTGCGGTGACGCAGGCGAGTATTGAGCGCCAGGAGGGGGAGAAGGAGGGGGGCGGGATGGTGTTGAAGATTGATGGCGTCGAGGGCGAGGGTGCTGGCGTTGGTGGGGGTGCGGATAAGGCGGAGAGTCTGCCGAGTTCGAATAGTGCGGTGGCTAAATCTGGCAGGGAGGAGTACGGGCCTTTGTTGGAGGACTTCGAGAGGAAGATGAGTGTGTTGAGGAAGGTTGTCAAGGCTGGGGAGGGGAGGGCTGAGAAGGCGCGGGAGACGAAGGGTGCTGGCGAGGAGGGGAAGGGGGATGAGCAGGAGTGAAGGCTGCAGTGAGATTTTGGGTTTGCGTTGTTATGTTTATTGGAAGCGCCTTATGGCCAGGGATGAGGTTCGCGCAGCTTGTGACGAGGTAGGCTACTCCATTAGGCGGGATGTTGACGGGTACTGACAGCTTCGCAGACATGTTTGGACGAGAGATGTGTCCGTGATGCTGCATCATAACTGCGGATGGATGTGTATGAGTTACGATTCATGAATTACGACTGGGGCAAGGCATTATAGACGCTACTACACAGCCGGGTGGATGGCTTGGGGTTATCATAATCGGTAGAAAGGACTTCGCGGTCCAATTTTCGGCTCAGGTTGGAAGAATAGAACAATTTTTGACAGTGCGCTGGTGTAATCGGTGATTGGGTATTGGCTGGCTTCGTCTCCCGAATCAATGTCTTCCCACGGCGCCTCTTGAGCAACTAGAGTATCACGTGCCCGACTCACGTTTCGTCATCGAGACAAAAGACGTATTTAAGAGAGGACATCTTCTATTTACCTAAGTATGGAGAAACTAAGATCACACTCATTGAGGCTGTCCCAGACTTTTCAGGTAAAAGAGGAAGCTTTCTTTAGGTCCAGTAGCTGATTATCCTTGCCTTCGAGTTCGCGTCTGCTTTCCGTACCTGTTTCGGCGCCGTCCTTCATTACTACTGTCTCCATCTGAAGCAGGAAAAACAACAGGCAGAAATTGAAAGATATCAAGTGATGTTTGTGTGGGAAACTAGCGACTATGTCTTTCTCAGCACCTTGGCTTTGCAACTTTCTGAGAGTTGTGGTGAAAAGCGATGTTATGTGGTGGCCAGAAGCGAATCCCGTGCAATCGGTTGTGTGCGCGGACGGAACTCTGCCTCAAAGACGCTTCTTTCGCTTTAAGTACAGGTGCAGCACTTTAGATTCGCTCACATTGATATCTTAAAGTTATAAAAGCACAAGGTGTAGCATGTAGCATAAGTCATAACACCACAAACAGTGGCTCTGATAGATGGAATGGTGATGTTTCTCTTTGATGATGAAGTTAAAGAGTCACTACGAGATGTCCATGCTGTTGCATTATACGGGTTCTTTTGTAGCATTGCAGAACAACACTTGTCATTATTACGATGGGAATATCATAAGGATGACAAATATAGAAGACGACGTGTGGGCATGACGACAGCTGTAATGCCAAGATGGCCAATTCCACTCGGCTTTTCCATTTGCATAAGCTCACCAAACTATGCATCTGCGTCATCCACGGTCAGCAATTATTTACCGTCTGCGGAAGTTGAAAACGAAATGGCAAACCTCGCTTTATATAATTATTTTTCGCAAGCGCAGCCGTTCCTACACGGACATCAGCGCTTGCCATACAGAATTGCATCTTGTGGGCTCATCGCACGTCTGAGCAGGAGGAGGGGAGACGGATCTCAGCTATACATATATTTATATATTCCCTGTTCTCTTTTAGCAGACAAAACGACGGCATGATGCGACCTTCGCTTGTACGTTCTGCAGCCAGTGTTTGGGCCATGAACAATTAAGAGTTTATGTCTCTCAAGTGATTAGAAGGTAACGTCGCAAACCGAGCAGTGGTACGGACTCTATCTCTGGTTATACCTGCTGTCTTTCGTCACGTATTGCCCTATTGACACGACTTCTCATCTTCTCTGCGGATGAGACTTTTCCCAAAGGGACGCCGCTGAGTTCCCACAGTGAGCAGCTCCGCTCAGAGCATCCCCTTATAATGCGGGGTGGATGACATTACCCACCATTACATTTTTGATCAGGTCAGCTGAGATGATAGTTAAGGCGCTTTCTTATAGTGAATCGCTCATCTGTGTTTGAATTGAGATTAGATTCACTGAATCTGAGAAAGACAACCAACGGTTCAAGAATGCTCAACATGCTGAGGTTCGTCTGCATATAAGATCAATCGTCAGGATCTAGCGAGTAGTAAGCATGCAACCCAATCCATTGTGGTGTTGATAGAAAGTGCTAGGTACACAATGGCCAATACGACGAGCCTGTATGGAGGTTCCCATCAGCTTAAACAAGCCACAAGAAGTCTGACAACTGCCGCGCTCGCAGCGTACTGACTTTGAACCGTTTTGTCAGAGTATTCTTCGTGGATACGACCAGTACGAGAGAGGTGATTAAGGACAGAAGAAGTGTTCACCGTTTCCAGGCGATATGATGTGCTCAAGCTGAACTCCGCCATCTGCGTGTGTTGACGGTATTGATCATGTGGTCGTGGCAAAGAATTGCATTTTTCACCCTGGAGGAAGCTTTATCATTCGGGAATGACAATATTTATAGAGCCGTCTACTCCACAGAGCTCTTATTTTCAGGTTGACATGCGCCGGCACGTTATGTCCGGGCAAATGATGGGTTGGCTCGCATGGCATGCCGCGCCGAGATCGGTTTAAAAACAAAGAGCTGTTCGTTACCGCAGTTGCCACAAATTGGGGTCGGGTGTAAGACTCTACGAATGACTAGTCAGCTTGTTCGATTCGTCGGAACTTGTAGAAACTAAAGCTACGCTGTGGTGCGTTTTGAGGGACGTCTGGAACCAGCCTTCTGAGGTATTCCATCGTGAATAGCTGGTCGATTACAGGCCGAAACAGGAACACGAAGAGGAAATAAGAGGCTGATGGCTCTGTTTCGTCATGGCGACCGAAATTCTCAGACTGGCCCGGACGGCACAGGCAGACCTAAGGATGAGGCTGGAATCATGCGTCTCACCCCTTTGAGAGGAATTCAATGTTTTCTAACATCTGTGAGACCACATGAACAAAAGAGAGCGGATATATCTTGTTCTTGCCGGCGGAGTTTGATGTGATGCTTTCCAGTATAAAGCCAAGCTTCGCCAGAAAGTCTACCCCTAAAAACCAATGTAGACTTCTCTGCTCTCTGAGCTATAGAGCCGTTCTGATGACTGGTACATTTACGATTTGTAATACCGTCGGGATTGGCGGCTTGGGACTTCGAGCTGCTGAGGAACACTGGTTGATGTTATCCATCCTTTCTTTGGGGGTATTCATATATGAACCTAACATCGATGCCAAGGTGAACTAGACTTGAAACGCCCTTGACATAATTAAGTATGCAACCTCGGGCTTACGGCGAGACGTTTGAAATCCCTTGAGAGCTTGCAGGCAACTGTGAAGCTGGACTGCTGTGGTGCGAAATATCTCCGGTGCGAAACTTCTCGCTACTCATTTCCATAGATATATGTAGACTACCTAAATATGAAAGCGTGATTGAGCAGCACTGGGATTTGTGGAGCTTGAGGCTGAATGTTTGTCTGATGGAAGCTTCTTTGAGCTGTGAATCGTTCACTTATCTAGAAAACCCACCGGGCCCGTATATAAAAACCAGCTGCTTTGCGTCTGCTTCACGTCCTTCCTCAACAATGAGTCTCAAACACAGTCCCATGATTCATGTAAACCCACTCTCAGACGGATTCAAGCATTTTGATAGCATGCCATATTGTTTTGACTATCCTAAATGACAATCGGGTACAATAAGCCCGAGACCATAGAAGATGAAGGAGAGAGATAAATGATGGTTTTAAGGGTCGGTTTCCCAACCAGATCACTCCCATTGATGCCTCTTTTCTTCTGCGTTAGATAGAAGTAATCATCAATGCAAGTCAAAGGTGGCGAAAGCTTCAATTGGTGTGGCGTAAAATCTGACCATTCAGCGTATAGAACTCTTTCTATAGGTACCTAAGCCGGGCAAAGATAGCCACCGGACTTGCGATGTGCAAGGAACCAACCAATTCGTGTTGGCCTGTGTTACGACCACGAACTTCGGGCTCACCTTGAAATAGAGCAAAGATGAGGTCGTACCAGATGATTGCAGCCACCACAATGGGCGCGCGATGTGTTTGAAATCCCACAGTTAGGTTTCTGCCATGTGGAACCATGTGGAAGCTCTGGCTAAGGCGCTCCGTCAACATATCCATGGAAGGAATATGATGTGACACGGGCGACGCCAGTTCATCATCGTCTTGTGTCCCTCGTCGATTCATCAGAGTCTAGTTGTATGAATAGGCAGACATTGAAATCCACTGACAATCCTTCCCCTGAAACCAACAAGTGTTTTCGGGAATTCTGTACGGCATCAAGGGCCCTGTGACAACTCTATGGTTTATTCACCAGCAGAAGCGAGAAGCATCAACACATTCAAATATGTCATTGGTGTGTGCCTCTCTCCACCGCAAGAAGAGAACTAGTATGATGTGCTTTCTATCGTTGGTCAGTATCTTATGGATGAGGCAACGCGTTGAAGAAATCTGTATCAGCGATGGATGGCACTGAGAAGGAATGAAGTAGACTTCATCTGACGATAACTCCTGTCTGTCTCCAAGACGAGAAGAATCTTCAACAGCACGTCAAGTAAAAGCTGACTGCCTCTTCTACACTGAAGTCCTTGGAGGATGGCACAAATAGTGGCGTCGCCAAGGGTGAGATTTGAGGCTGAAGGCATCCTCAATTTCTGATCATATCTCACCATAGAAAGGTCTGGGAAGACCAAACAGTTCTAGAGAGACACCTGGTGATTTATATTGTACGCATCCGCATAGATTTTGGCGGTATGAATGAACAGGTTCGGCTCATTGCTTCCATGAGAGAGAGCTTCAAGTTCTTTGGAGTATCCAGGACCCAATGCCCAGACACCCAACAATACATGAGATACTAACATAGAATGTCTGCGCTCGTTTCTTTCGTCGGTTGTTTGAGAAAGTTTATTTGTGAATAAGCTGGAAGAATTAAGCATTCTTGCCGTTTCCCGGGTGAGCGCGCTACCGCCTCGATTCGAAATGTACGCAATGTGATGGGATGAGATAAGGATCCTCAAGCTCACAGCAGACACATCATACCCTGAAGCTCATTTGCCGTAGAAACGAAAATCGTTGTCAGCGCTCAAGTGACCAGTTTATATTCATCAGACTCAATCCTGACTCAACAGGCTGATGTGGCGCTGCGGCAGACGGAGCAGCTGCAAGT